CCTTTATTGGGGAATAGGCCCAAGGCGCGCCAATTTCTCCCTCTCTCCCTACTTCCTGCACTTCCGAATTTTCCATGATACCTCTCCAATCAGAATATTGTCCCTCCCATCACCGGTCATTTTGACCAATCATTTGAAAATTTAGAAAAACCATTTTCCTCCTCCACTTTTCCATCCCTTCTACTTTGAAAATCCAACTTGTCTAAAATTTAATATTTTGTAATCAGTTACGAACTTCATCCCTAGGAAGAAACACCTCATCGGAGGTACCCTCGTGCATTATACCTCTCTACCAAATATTGTTAAAAATAAATATCGACTTTGTTAAAACGTGAGTAATCATTCCAAGTCTCCAATTATCCAAGTCTCCTCACCCTTAACATTGCTCTCATCGAATTCCCCCCTTTCATTAAAAAAAAACAGCTACACAAAGATTATTTCGGCGTGTAGCAAAAATTGCAAATATTGTTCTGTGTAGGTCAGATTTCTGGAATTTACGACTCCAGAAAGTTCAAAATCGAACGCAGTATTCTCGCATTTTAATTCAGCATAATCAAAGCCCAAAAATCAATAGTAAATTTTAGTACAATCATAAGCCCAAAAATCAATACAGAAATTTCAAGTTCGCTAATTGCGCCCAATAAACACTCTTAATGTATTTGTCCCTAGCAATTTAGTTTATGACATGCAGCTGCCTGCATATCTCTAACCAGGATTAGAGTGTCTCGTCCACTCCCCCAAATCCTTGGAAATTTTCCACTGACGCCAATATTTTTCACAATAATATTTCAATGTTATATACTTGCTTTTTAATAAATACGTCGAATATTTGATAATCGAACTATCGTAATGGTTTGAATTAAGAATTGTCTCTTTAGATAACCATCAGAGAAATTTTCAGTCATTTGAAAGGTCAATTGAATTATGATAACTTTATATTCTCAATCCATTCAATTATCTTCTATTAAACAACGGAATTGATCCTTCTTTTTCATTTGGAATATTTGATTTTCCAAAATTCTCGATTCGGAAAATTTTGGATTGTCAAAGGAATGATAGTAATAATTATTTAAGATGCGTTAGTTATTTTAAACGTTTGAAAATTGAGCGTTTTAGAACAAAGAAATATTAATAGTTCATAATAAATAATTAAGTTCTTAAACAATAAGTTAATTATTAAATTATTTCAATGGAACATTGTGGAGGGAGAACATGGGACTCCTGAAACAAATTTAATTGGTTAATTGGGGGTGGAAAAGTCCGCCCACACCCCAACGAATTTTC